ATATCACATGACTAGGGCATGCCTAATGGCCAAGTGGCATGCCCATAGGCATGCCCCCAAGGCATGCCCATGCCCCTGTGCCTCGAACCCTAGTTTTATCACAAGAGGTAATTTATATATCGCCTAGGCGATATCATCACCCCACTTGATTACATAATCACGTGCTTCGTAAAACATGATTGACGATTATAATATAACAGTAGTTAAATAGTAGCACAAAATTATGCAATAGTGAAGCATAAAAGAAAATACGATTAAAAAAAAGGTTATTTTTTTTTGTTCTTTTCATTAGCAGAAAATAACAGTAAAGGACAAAACAAGAATACTTACGGTAATATGCATTAAATAAAGCTATTATTTGGCTATTATTTGTGTTGCACAACGTAAATATTAACAGTACCTTCAAGTTAGACAGCATAATATGACCCTGTGGCACCTTGTTACATGCGTCAAAAAATGGAAGGTAGTCACTTTGGTAGTATGTAAAAGTTTGGCTCGATTTTTGATCCAAATTCTTATCCGAACTGAAATTTGGATCAAAGAATCAGATCGTTAGGACTAGTTTTTTTTTTTTTTGGCAAAGCAGTGAATAATTATATTTTTTCTACAAATAATAATTTTACTTGGAATCAATATGATAGAAACTATCAAGGTTAGTATTATTTTATCAACAGACACATTATAGAGCCCATGACTAAACATATATTATTTAAAATCAGAAGAATTTAACAATATTCTACCTATAGGCTTTGTTTTGGGTTTAGAACTGGGTGAGTTTGATAGTTGAAAATAATAAGCTAGCTCGGAATACAGTATATTAAAGCTATTTCATTTGATAGGCTCTTTTTTGAATCCGAAACTAGAAAACCTTGAGGCTGCTTTAATTCAATCGGTTACTAGTGAACATTTGATAGACCCATTTTTGGATCCGAAACTAGAAAATCTTGAAGCTGCTTTAATTCAATCAGTTACACATGAAAGCTCTTTAATTCAGTTAGTCACTAGTGAATGTTCTTTAATTTAATCGGTTCCTGGTGAATGTTCTTTAATTCAATTAGTAGAATCAGAGAAGTCTGATGGGTTAGAAACTTTGGATCAAGGTAAATTCTGTTTTTAAATTATTTTTTCTAGGTTCAGTTTTAAAGTTGAAACTTGAAATTGATATACAATATCTTTTAACATAATTAAAGGAATTTGAAACTGTAGCACAAGGTAGATTCGCTTTTAGATTTGGAATTAGATAGTTTTTAAACTTTAGGATAAAAAATTCAGGTTCTGAACTAAGTTAAAACTCTTTTCATAGGTCCTGTAGTGGGGTCAGAATTAGAACACCTTAACTCTACAGAATTTTTCTTATTAACTGAACTAGTGGAATTGACTGCTGGTTTATGTTTTCACTCTTAGTTAATTGCTGAACATTACATTAAAGAATATAGATGACAAAGAGGATTTGCTATTAATCATTATCGAGTTAAATATCACAAGGACTCTGATTCATCTAAATGAATTGTAAAAAAAAGAACGTTTTCTTGTGAATATGCTGGAGTTTACAAGCCTAAAAAGACAAAACTATTGGATCAACAACGTAACAAAGAATTAAAGAAAACGAATTGCAAATAGCATGTCAACCTATCTAATCCTGAAAATAGTGGTTTTGTGCACGTAGTTTTTGTATACTCAGAACATAACCATGAATTACTTGCTGATAACGCAAAATTTGCTGCGAAATTCAGAAAATTCGATCAATCAATATTAGCAGAAATTGAGCATGCAGTTGTATATGGGCAGTGTGATGTATATACTATAAGAAATTTATTACAACCACTGTTTCCTGATCACCTATTTTTAACACAAGATCTTTCTAATGCTATTCAGAAAATCAAACGGAAAAAACAAATTACAGGATCTGATGCATCTTACTTGTTAAAATTTTTACTCAATTAACAAAAAGAAGATCCAATGATGTTTGTACAGCCATTAGTAAATGCAAATAGTGATAGATTGTGTGGAATATTTTGGATAACTGCGAATCAAATTGAGCTATGGTTGCGTTATTCAGATGTTATACTTCATGACAATACTTCTAGAACTAACAAATATAATTATCCATTGTTACTGTTTATAATTGTTGACAATGATAGAAAGTCATGTTTAGGTGCTCAGGCCTTTTTAAATGATGAAACTCAAGAGAGTTATGAATAGATTCTGCAACAAATATTGGATGCTACAAATCATGAGCCAACAGTTATATTAACTGATATGGACCCAGCTATGGAGACAGCGTGTAAGGTGATTTACAAAAATACTTATCATATGTATTGTATCTGGCACAAGTCTCAAAATTTACCAAAGCAGCTCAAGTCTAAGCTTGGAACTACAAATTTTAAGTCGTTTGTTGGTGATTTTTGGAAAATGTGTAATTCATTATATGTGGAAGTCTTTGAGCAATGGTTTCAAGCACTTTTAGAAACTTACCCTAGTGCTAATGAATATTTGCAAAATCTACTTTATTCAACATGACATTCTTGGGCATATGCCTATATAAGCCGTATCTTTACGGCTTGTATGCAATCAATACAACGTGTTGAGTCAATCAATGCAATTATCTATAAAGCCGTTTCTTCCAGTTCAACTATGTCAGATATAGTCGAAGCTTTGGATTTCTGAATGCAAAAAGAGGCAATGAATAAAGATTTTTTAGCATGGAAATATAAATTAACAACATACCATCAACTATTTGTTGTGGATAATTTTTTTAGTGAAATTAATAGCACAATTAAAAAATACTTTTCACCACGAATTGTCACGGAAATCCAGAAACAAATATGTGAATCAGTGTTATATAGGTGTGAAAAGTTATCTATTAACGAAGCTTTTAAATTTACTGAAGATCAATTGGTAGGTTTTGATTAAAAAAAAAAAAAAAAAAAAAAACTAAGCTAAGGCTATTTTTCTATTATATTTTAGGATCAAAATGGACTATGCGAAAGTCTAACTAATCCAACTCATGCTAATAATTCAGAATGCATTGAGGATATCGAAAACTACTATGATTACCAACAAATATATCTAAAGTCACTATTAAATTCAGTTGAGAAGAATTCAGTTAAAGAAGTTTGGCAGATTATTCCTTATATGGCACCAAGCTCATATCAGCATATTATAATTCTTAATAATGGAACTCATTTATACATGTGTCTATTATTGGTTTCTAATGGAGTCGTTTGCCGGCATTACTTCAAATTAATGATCGAAAATCAAGATGCTTTATTTTACCCAATGCTAATGCCAACAAGATGGCTTTGAGATGAAGTCTGGACTTGTACAGATTCTGTTTTTAAAGAACTATTTATTGGAACATCATCAAAAAATTTAAAGCAGAGTAATCATGCTCTTTAGCAATCTATATTTATTTCTAAGCATTATAATAACATCCAAGAAGTTCAGGCCCATCAATATCTACAAAAAAAAACACAATACGGTCGACTTATAGGACATTTTAAAAAAGCTTTAAACTATTCATTGAAAGATAATGACCAAAGTAGTTTAGATAATATTATATTAGTATATATTTCTGAGAAGGAAGCAAAGCTAAATGCTGCAGTACAATTGAAAAGAGGGAACATTCTTAGTAAAAATATGGATTTAGATAATATGTTGAAGTTGCCAGATAGGCATGTTTACAATATCGATGATATTAAAGATTCAACAAAATACCAAGGTAAAGGTAGACCTGCTGGTAATCATATTAAGGCTTATAATGAGAATGAGAAGGCAAATAGTAGTGTGTCTAAAAGAGGAAATGCTTCTGAAAATCTTGAGAACACAGTAGAAAATGATAATACTAGTGGATATAAATGTAGATTGTGCAGTAAGACAGGAAATTATATACCCAAATATCCTACTAAGGAAAGTTAACTATATTTGATAGGAATAACGGTTTGTATATATTATTAGAATTACAATATATCTAGTTTAGTCTGTACCAAAGTGATTTTTTTGCATTTTATGTGGTCATAATTCATGTTTATTGATATTGATATTGCTTTATTGCTATTGCCTTATTGATTATGCTATCGAAGTACTTTATGTATAAAGAGCTAATTTTAATTTATATAAATTAACTCTCTACTAAGAAATATGGGTGTGTGGAGACACAGTTTACTCTATGATTTCTGAAAAAAAATTTATACATCTGATTTAATTAGGCACAGTTATTTTCTTTTGGCGGCACCCATATGTAATATATATGTCATTATTGGTTAGTGTGATAAATATACGAGTTGAATTATTAGAAATTTTCAGTAGGGTAAGTTAGTGCGATAGTGTGTATGTATGTACGTACAGTACATAAAGTACGTAAATATTTGAATTAACTGTTAATACTAAATTGTGTAATATAAAATTTATATGTATAAATTACATTGAGTTAATTGCATATTTGATATTATATATCACACAAAAATTGTACTATTGCAATACTGGCCAATCAAATTGTATCTCGTGATATGGGCGATGAATAACATATATTGCACTATGCAATAAATAAATTTTTTCTATTAAAAATATATAATAATATTTTATAAATTTAAATTAAAAACTAATTGAAATTATTTAGAATAATTTAAATTAAATTAAATCATTTTGAATTATTTAAATAATATTATTTACTAAAAATATTTTGTATATTATATTTAATGATAATAATTTCATGATATTTCAATTTTATTCGAAATAAATTTAATTAACTTATATTAATTTACTATAATTTAAATAAAAATAGAGGCTTTTTAAATATTTTTAACATATTCAAACTAAATCGAATCATTGCGAATTATTTAAAATAATTATTTATTCCAAATTTGTATTTTTTTTTTTTTTTTTTTTTTAATTTTGGCAATCTTGCCTTTATTATTTGAGAGATACTACATTTATAAATGTACATGTATACTAAAATTACTTTTAGTTATTACC